TATACGTCGTTAATTTTTCGAATAGTAAGATCTCGGGTTTCTCTCAGAGAAAAGTTTAGGGCATCAGGCATCATGACATCACAGTACCTACATTTACTCACATCACATGACATCACAGTATATTTTGTACGCCCGTAAAAAATATACATAATTTCATTAAGAAAGAAGATATCCATAATATTAACTTTAGAACTAAGTCCAAACTCATGGTACCACGATTTTGTTTAACTAAGGCAAATGATTCTTTTATGGGGATCTTGTACAACAAGGTTCCAGAGCAAGTATTAAAATCATCATTTCCTAAGTTTAGATTTCAAAGCGAATCCAAAATCAACCAAAACATAAACAAATAAGTAACACCAAAAACCTTAAATTTTATACGAAAAAGTTTTTAATTTAAATAATTTTATTTCATTTCAAAGTCGCCAAAATTTTACAACTAAAATTTCATATTTATGTAACTCCTAAAACCCGGTACGAAAAGCGAGCAAGTGATTATCAATTTCATCGTTGTTTATTATTTTCATTTCCTAAGACATGAATACATATATCTTTATTATTAACCGACTTCAAAAAAGGAGGAGGTTCTCAATTCGTATGTTCTTTTTTTTGTATGTATGTTACGCGATAACTCCGGATTTATGAACCTATTTTCATGATTCTTTTTTTGTTGGAAAGGGGGTACTTCCATGGTGGTCCCATTTCATTTTGAAGAAAAGCATCCACCTCGAAGGGTGGCTGTTCACGCATGAAGATTCATTTTTATAAATAGCGCCTAACTTTAATTTAGGAGCAATTACTTCAATGGTTGTTTTTGTTATTTCTCCAATTCAAGGCGTTTTTCTTTCAATATACTTTGAGTAGTGAGAACCGATTTTTATTATCTCCAATGTCAAGTCCTGTATAGTGGCGAACTAGGGGATATTTCAATAAAACTTAGCAAATAGACGTAATTCCACTTACTTTTGAGGTCGGTTTTTTTAGTACTCTGTACTGAGATTATATAATTACAAATTAATCATTGTAGTATGTTTATTAAAGGTACACTACTCTTATTGATGGCTTTTGAAACAACTGCACCGGACTGCGATGACTTTTGCACCGGCAAGCGAGTTATTTGGAAAGAGGATATTAGGATGTATTTTTAATGTAATTAAAGTCTTAAAAAAGTACGAAGGAATAGGATTTTAACTTTTTAAATAAGCATGAAACACGCTGACGTTGTTATGAGATTTATCTAGATATTGGAAAAATAAAGGAGGTTAAGATATTTTACCTTCTTTTAAATAAAGTCTAAATTGGAGGACCCTTCAGTTGCAAAAGATTTGATAACAATCTTAGTAAAACTCATTAGAGACTGAAGTAGATCTTCCATCATCAATTTTATTTGTTATGAAGACAACTTTTTAACTTCGCCCATTCTTGCTAATGTTGTTACAAAGATTATTATCATTTTCAGTTGCTCCAATAGTGTGGTAAACAAAACCACCACATTAACAACTGTTTATTTAGTGATTACCTGTGTGTAACAGACGGTGTAAGTTCTAATAAGGTAACATCTGTCAAACTACACGTTTCGACGTGTCCAGGGAACAGGAAACGTCAATAAACACTTAATCTCCATTAACAGGCACGTCGCTCGCAGGTAGCTACTCCGAACTTTGAATAATGGATGAGTGTGGCCGAGGACTTCCGAACGTGTGACCTCCGTTCTATATTTTGATAGTCAAGCAACACCGCTGAACCGACACAGTCAACGCGAAATTTATAGTGTCGTTTTCGTTCATGTCAGCGTTGTATAAACAACGCTTGCATGAACTACGCTATAAACTAATTTCAGCTTCTAATCTAGATTGCTTTTATTGCGTTATACCATTTTTTAATTACACGTCACCTTTCTACCTATTTGATGGGCTAATCACCAACTCCATATTGTAGCAATTGCGGCGTCATTGAAGACGAATTGTATTGGATCGAGAGATTCAGGAGACAGTTGGGCAGTGTAGCCATACACGACAGACTGGGTTGTGTAACAGTATAATAGCCATTCCTTCGTCGAACGAAGCTGTACGAAGTATATTTAAGTGGTGTGAATCTAGGTCAAATGTCTAAATTAAGCAGCATTACGGAGCGACATTATCATCTTCTTATACGGTAAAGCTTCTTAAATTTAGATTTTTTTAAATTTGCTCGTTCTCTGCAGTTGTTGCAGAGTGGTGAGTTATTTTGTACCATGGACCAGTACCTCAATAGGACTGCTAATCTCCGTACTGCAGATTGTACCTCTGAAACAGGTCAAAATTCCGTCTTGTTGTATTTAAGGAGTTTAATTTAAGTCTTAAGAGTTTTGGCTTCAATACAAGTCCTTTGAGCCATGTCTTCGTTTAATTATCGGTATCGTCATTTGTAAATATTTTTCATTGTGGTTCTACAACATTATGTTTTCACTTTCTCTTATATAACTTAGTTTTCTTGTTTGGGCTTTCTAAATAGTCTTTTAAGCGGCGAGAGTCAATATTTATGTTTTCACATTCACTTATATCACATTATTGTCACTTTGTATACAAAACTTTGAATTCGTAATTATTGGAATTTTCAGGATATCTTCCGTAATTTGGTTTAAAAACAGGAATATAGTTCTACTTTCTTCTTTCTTCGCGACTATTTCTTTCTTCGTATTTTTTCTAATCTACTTCTAAAAATACTTAAAATAAAATTAATATTTTTGTAAAAACTACTTGTATCTTCAAAAGCCCTTCATTTTTGTTTATACGGTGTAAATAGCCGTGAAATTCCTCTTTAAATGAAATATAAGAAGTCAGTTTTTTTCGTTATAATATTATTCAAATATAGATCATGATTTTAAATTTTAATATTTTTAATTTAAAATTATTTTCTGAACTTTGGCAAATATGTGTATCAATAGACGGCAGTGTGTGTTTTAAACTAATTTATAAATTAACGGTTCTTAATATTCCATACACCCATATGGCGCACGATTATACACGATGAACAGTCCTGTCGTGTTATTGGTCAATTGTTTGTATTCAATTGCAAGATAAACACCATACACTCCGCTCAGTGCAAGTTTCTCAACCGCTATACCATAATGAAGAGCCTATATGAATCTCACTCTTCCAAAAAAAAAGTTAGTCGTTAGCCACAAAGTTTGCCTTTACGTTGCGAAAAAAGCATTTTTGAATAACTCCAATATGACAGTATCTACCTGAAGATAAATCTCAAAATTCAAGTCGAAGCTTTCAAATATGAAATGTGACATATGCTCGTATTTCAAATATCTGTTCAATCGGTTCACTGAGCAAAGTACGAGGTCTACTAAAGGTATCAAAGGAACAATAACTCTGTTGTATATTGTGCAAGCTGTTAATATAAATAAAATATATAAATAATATGTATTTTTCGGTAAACAGTCGAAAGATTTTTCTTATTAATTTACTTTTTATTACCTCGTTTTCGTACTTCATAAGTTTAGAAATACTGTAATCTATTTAAATACCAAGCTACTTCAAACGTTTATAGTCTTGCTCGTCCTTTTGTCTGATTCGGCAAATACTCTTAGTAATTTACTGATATAAATCTGGGTAACATCTTATCACGTTATCTGAACATTACCTTAACTTTATTTAAGTCTCGAACTCTGGAGTTCACAGAGCCCAAAAGATGTTTCGATGATCTCGTCCCTTAGTTACTTGCGGAGGTAATAAACGATCCCATACTGTCTGATTAATAATTTTTACGACTCAATTGCCTTTCAAGTTGGCGTTATGTCAAATTATTAGAAACTGTACGTTTCTCAATTAAGACGTACAATTTTTAGAAAGTGTATGAAATCCATAACGGATATTATTGTAAATTCAGAAATCAACTCCATATGATTGCGTCTTTTCTCACCTACAATCTAATAAAACATTTCATTGTACTAAAGCCTATGCCTAGATATCTTGTTACACTAGAAAGTAACCAATAGAAACAGTAGAAGAGGGTCAATGTTGCGTTCAGGTTTGAATATTTGATCAAATATAGGTGCGAGCCGTAGAGCTGGCAAACAGGTCACACCCAGAGCGGCCATTCTGTTTTAGACCGTGTCCATGTCCCAACAGGTGCGGGCGCACCCCGCATCCCACCACAACCATTACTTTTATAGCCTTTCCATGTACTCGCCTCTTAATAAAGGCCATATATCTCCTTTCGTATAGCATTAAGAATATTAAGATCTATGCACGTATATAAAGGTAATTCACAAAGAAATATGTACATACCTTTTTTGTTTCGTATTCGTAACACATCCCCGTTCCAAAGGGACAGGTAATAGATATAATAGAAATAAATATTTCCTTTCTGCTTTTATTTTGTTGTATTTTGTTCGTTACTCATTGTACGTTATCCCGTTTCTGCGTGAATAACACTCAAATACGATTCAATTAACCTTACTCAAGCTTCGTACTTGTTCGTCTTTTCATATATTTGGAGTTATTTTTATTTGGAAAATTACAATTATAAAAAAGATAATTTTTTCAAGTGTTAAAAAATAATTGAAATCTGGAGATATATTTCTACGTAGACCAAGCTTAATATCCGGGGGAAGTTATTGTAAGTAATATTGACAAGCACCCTCGACGAAAATTGAGTTGGAGTTACCCGTTATAAGTGGTCCAAGGTGACGATGAAGCGGTGCACAAATATCGACAACGGTTGAGAGAGGCGCGAGTTTCGCCGCAAACTTGCCCAACTTTCGCCAACTTTCGCATTAATACCCATAAACCTTGAAAAAGTTCTAGAGGTGTTGTTAAATATGTGAGCTGAACGAAATTTCTAATTCCAAAACAGTTTTGTATAAGTACGGCGAAAATACATTAATGTTTTGTTGTATTCATTTCCGGACAATTAACGTGGCGTTTAATTTCAGTCACCTTAAAATTAAATAAAAAACAATATATTTTACCACTTTATTTATTAAAAATCTTTAATACACTATGATCTACGTACAGTAAATGATAAATAAAATATTAATACAAAGGATAATATCTACACAACTTCCCGTATGTATCTCTTGTATCTTTACTCATACATGTTAATTGAAAGCACGTAGGTATCTGATACTAGAAATTACCTGTAGCCAGAGTGTAGGTAATAATTAAGTTAGCAGCGCGATGTCATTGTATCATTGTAGGTGTACGTGTCATCCTTTGCATTCATTTATAATTCACTTGTGCACAGTACTTTCAAAAATTTTAAATCTCACAAAAATAAGTTTAATTTAACATAATAGTCTTAACCTACAATGATATGGTAAGTGAATTTTTTTCACTCCAATTTGGTTTTTGAGTATGATATAATAAATGTTACCTACAATAGGACGTGCCATAATTACCTCTATCTACACTCCTAACACTGCCACATGCTTAATGATTTTGGCAAACACGATCTGTTTGTGTTATACATACTCTGAACGATCTAGTGAAATTATGGGGATATAGCTATGCTACATTTGAATCAGAATTGACTAATATTTATTCTATTTTTTTCTATTCTACTATGCAATATTAACTTCTGAATTAGGATCGAAACATAAAACGAATTCCCAACGCAGAAAACTGCGACGCGAATTGCTGCGATGCGATTTCGTGCGGCAAGGCATCTCACTGCCACGGTTCGAGTAACCATTCCTTCGACGATCATTAACCGTACTGAATGTATTTTTTAAGCTAGGTAGCGACATAGATCGTAAAAAGAGTGTTGAAGTACTGTTATTGATAAGCAAGTTTAGGTACAAAACACAAAGAAGATTCACATCGCAGGAATGTGCGAGCACGTAGATTTCTGCGATACACGCTTCGCGGTTTTGTGTTTCGACCCTTAAGTAGAAGAAGCCAAAATTTAAAATCAATACCTAATTACAATGTGATTTAAACCTAGGATGTGCGAAAATAGACACCGCTACTATCATTTCTGCATTGCATTATTACATTACATATATAAACAAATTGGAATCGCTAAGTGCACCGTGCCATCACAATACAAATAACTACGAGGATCCATGAATTCTAATTCAATAGATGTTATAGAACTTGATCAGTCATTATTAGAATTCCTTGTGGCAGTCAAACTACTCATTAAAAGCACGTGAGATTCCTAACCTAACATACGAAATGGGTTGAACTTTTTAATTATACGACTTGGTGTCTGTGGTCTCCGTGATCTGTTCGGTCGGTGCAGTGGCTGATTTGCAGCCGAGAGCAAAGGAGAATTAGAGTCGTCTATTTCTTCAAGGCTTTCAGTGGAATCATTGTCAAGATCTTCAGTCACATCTGTTATGTTTAACATTGACGTCTTGTCGGTGTCAGAATAATGCTGAGGACTAGCCGTTGTGTTAGGCTGTTCTGTGCTGTATTGTATTGCTTTATTTTTTACTTCTGGTGGTAAAGTCATTGTTGAGATTGAATGTTCTGTTTTTGTTAACATTGTAGATGAAATTATTTCAGGTTGTATGTTTTCTTTTGTATGAAGAGTAGTTGCATTGTCTTCAAATGTGTAGGTGATGGGGTTAGAAGTAGTAGTAACAACATCTTTGGCATCCGTTAAATTGTCATGATCTATTGTTGGGACTGTGATGGCTGGATCGTCCACGTTAATCACACTTACTGTTTCTTTAAACTCAGGCATTCTCGTGGTAATTTCAAATACAGTTTCGGTTGGTCCTGTGTGAACGTTGTCGCTTAATAACGTGATTTTTATTACTTCATGATTCATTGTTACACTTTCCGTTTGAGGTTTGGCTGTAATGGAAGTTGATGTTTTTTCAGTAGTTTGCACCTGAGTAACATAAGTCTCGTTTAGCCTGTTAATGTTAGAAAAGTTGTGGAAAACAAAAGCTCTATTGTTTGTCGTCTGGCTTTCGTCAGCAGCTATATTTTTTTGCGCTGATGATATAGTGTTGGGTTTCTCTGTACTAGTGAAGTTTACTTCTTGCTCGAATTTAGATTTATCAGATTGCGACCCTTTGTCATAGGTTTCTGTGGTTGGTTCTTTCAAAATAACTTGCAGATCAATAGACAGATCATCTGCCAAAGTGTCTTTATGAATGGTTAGTATTTCCGCAGTAGTCGCTGCTGTTGCTTTGAAATTTGAAGTTACAGTTTCCAACGCTTTTTCCAGTTTATACAGCTTACCGTCTATCTTGAAATTTTTATTTTTTGGATCATCATATTTTTCATTGTATTTTTTGGGTAACATGTTCTTGATTTTATCTTTGTTGACTACTTCTTTAGTTTTTATAGACTGTATAGGAATCACTAGGGGCTTATCTATTATTTCTATTTTTGTTTGTTCATCTATTGTAATTTTGGGAGTATTGTTATTTACACCATCCAACGTAGGACTGCTATGTCCATCAAGAAAATTATGCTTTGCTACGTGTTGTTCAGCAATATGTTGAGCATGTTTTTCTGCCAAAGATAAAACTGTCATATCGTCGCTGATTTTAGCTTTGGCCATTACAAGAGGCGGAACGAAGTGGTCTGTCGGTTGCGTGAAAATTGTCTCGAAGTTGCCAAGTCTGGCCAACTCCTCATGTAACATTTTATAATGCATATGCTTTTCGTCTTCTAATTTTTGTGATTGTTCAATAGATAAATATTTATCATTGTTGGCAAGTTTGGGAATGTCGTTACTAAGTTGATTATTGGTATGCAGTAAATCAATGTTAACATTCTTTTGAGAATAAGGATAACTCGGTTCGTTTACTTTGGTTTGTTGCTTTATATGTGGAACGTAAGGTGACGGAGTTATCGTTGAGGTTTTGGATTTTGTTACATCTGTTTCTCGTTCTGTAACAATGTCCTCTTCGGTGGTAGTGTCATTAAGGCTATCTTGGTCGGTAATATTGAAATTACTATCCGTTACGACTGGCCATGATGCACTTGTCGATAATAGCCGAGGAGTAGTCGATTCGTCTTCTTCCACACACGAAAGATCCTTTAAAAGGTTTTCACGTTTCTGCAGGAAATAAAAATCATATTATTTTGGTTAGGTTGTAAGCATAATAAAGTACTGAACAATTTGTATATTTTTTTACCATATTTCCTGTACACTGGACGCGTTTAACACCAGCTAGTCCGCAGTCGGCTGTAAGTTGAACCGCTGCGCTTTCAGGGAGATATAGCACGGTGAGAGCAGGCAACTCTCGAACCATGCAGCCTTCATTTCCTAGGGCCCATTGAGGCACTGCAGACAAAAATCAGAAAATATATCAATCGTAATATAAAATGTCCATATCTTCAACGAAATTTATCTTGATCTAAACTTACCGGGCAGTTCACAAATGAAGGAGGCGACTGTGGGTCCTCCGCAAGCAAGTGCTTCCCAGCGGTAATCAGCCGCAGGATCTGCTGCGACGCAGAGCGGTGCAGCGCGAGTGTCAGGCGGTGAGCTCCAGTAACCATCGCCACTCAGGCCGCGATAGTCGCTGCATAAACAATTAATTTTATGATAAAATAACATTCGAGGAAACATTGTAAACTCCTGTAATTTACGGAATACAAGTATTTTAAGGTAATTGACTTACGTCCATGTGAAGTCTCCGTCTGGATTGCTGCGAATAAGACCCACCCAAACAGCGCTCGATATGTCCAACTCTTTGAGGTATGCTCGCACCGCATCATATTGAGCCGTAGTGTCCACTGCAATAAAACTTAAATTAAAATTTGGAAGAATCCTAAAATACAAAACATTGTACTCCAAAAAGTGAAAAAAGTCTCCATCAAAAGTCTCCATCGTCACTAAAAGTGCACCTCACTAATATCCGAGATCTGCACTGAAATCTCGATTCGGTCCCCTACCACCTTGAAACCGACAAACCGCAGCTGCTGTTCCTCATAGAGACGCAGATCAGATGTCCGACTGCCGCAGCGTACCTCAGCTACCCCGGGTATACTCTGGAGCACAGGTTCGTACATCGTGCCGGAGTCTGTGTGTACGTTCGCGATGACATCTGTGTCAAACGTCTCAAGAACCTTGGGCACAGAGTTTTTCCATTTTGTGGCTTCTGGTGGACACAGGAGTTACACAAATAGTGTACTGCTGTGTTTACCGATCACACAGTGGAGATCAGGAGACGACCAAGCTGTTCCAATATCTAAGTGAGACGCCTGATGAGATTCAGCATAGGTACCCAGCGGCGCAACTAGTCATTCTGGGGGACTTTAATGCTCACCATCAAGAATGGTTGTTCCCATACCAGAAGACCGATCACGCTGGGAGAGAGACGCGTAAACTTGCGTTAACGCTAAACCTATCCCAGCTTGTCAGTGGCGCCACTAGAATACCAGATGTTCAATCTCATACGGCTAATTCCTTGGACATTCTGCTGACAACTGATCCGGACCGATACTCTGTGGTTGTGGATGCCCCACTGGGTACTTCCGACCAATGTCTGGTGAAAACTGTATCCGCAAACTTCCCACCCGATCAAGGCCCTAGTGGTATGAGATGGGTGTGGCGATACAAGTTAGTAGATTGGGACGAAATGCGCCATTTCTTTGCGTCATATCCCTGACAGGCGTGTTTTACTTCAGGAGACTCGTCGAGCTGTGCTGATGCTGTAGTCGAGGTCTTGCGTTTGGGTATGGAGTATTACATACCATACTCTGATGTACCCAATGGACCCCAAGCTCGTCCATGGTTTAAGGGTTATTGTAGTTGTGCTGAAGCACATAAACAGTCCGCGTGCCAAGCTTGGGCAGATGCTCGACTACGCAAAGCGCCGAGTACTCAGAATTTAAAGAAAGCTTTTAATAAGGCCGCCAAGACGTGCAAAAACATATTACGTAGGGCCAAGTTCGACCATGTGCGCCGCATAGGGGCCAAGTTTGCCTGTTATCCAGCAGGCATCAAAACCTTTTGGTCCCTGGACAAAGCGGTCGAATCTAACTTTTGTCGCCCATCTTTGCCACCTTTGCTAAGACCGGAGGGCTCGCTGGCTCATATTGCGGACGAGAAGGAGAATCTCTTTGCCTCACTCTTTGCAGAGAGTTCGCGTCTGGATGCCGCAGGGACCCTACCACCTACTTTACCTCAGGCTGGCTGCATTGTGGCGCCAGTTCACATACGCCAAAACGAGGTACTTAGAACTCAGCGAAATCTAGACGTGAATAAAACTAGCGGGCCAGATGGAATTCCAGCAATAGTCCTGCATAAGTATGCGCCTGGGTTGTCTCCTGTTCTCACACGCCTGTACCGCCTCTCACTTTAGACTGGTGTAATTCCCAGGTCATAGAAGCTTGCAAACGTGCAACCTGTGCCTAAACAGGGACCTGACCCTGTCAACTATAGACCTATCTCAGTCACTTGCATACTCTGCAAGACTATGGAACGTGTACTCAATAACCGTCTCCTATCGTACCTTGAAGACAACCACCTCCTCAGTGATCGCCAGTACGGATTCCGACGAGGGCGATCTACTGGGGATCTTCTTGTGTATGCTTGTCACATATGGAGCGAGGCTACAGAAAAGCAAGGCGAAGCACTTGCAGTGTCTTTCGACATTTCTAAAGCCTTTGACAGGCTCTGCCACGCAAGCCTTTTAAGTAAGCTTCCCTCTTAAGGGCTTCCCACTGACCTTTGCAATTGGATCTCGGATTTCTTGAGCGAACGTTCGATTCGAGTGGTCTTAGAAGGCTACTCTTCCGAACATATGGCGATAGATGCCTCAGAGTTCCTCAGCGTGTGCAACTGTGTGTACTGTGTGCAACTCTCTTTCTGCTGCATATCAATGATATTATAATTCCAGGTACCTTTGCGTATGCTGATGACAGCACAGTCGTAGATAGATACTTGACCAATGCAAGGGTCAGTGGAGAGGAAATCCAGTCTTGTCGAGAGTCCATGGTTAGCTGTTTAGATTTGACACTCCAGGCAGTCTCCGGTTGGAGCAATGCCAATCTTGTAAAATTTAACGCTACCAAAACGCAGACGTGTCTATTCTCCACAAAACGGAGTCCCTTTGAGCTGACTCCGACTTTTCGTGATATATCCATACCGATAGCCGATTATCTCCAGCTAGGAAGCTTGGAATCCTTTCCAAGGTGAGGCGTTACTTTACACCGGGACAGTTGCTTCAGCTGTACCAAGCACAAGTCCGATCGTGCATGGAGTATTGCTCCCACCTCTGGGATGGCTCTGCTACATATCAACTGGCCACTTTGGATTCAATTGCCAACCGTGTCAAGAGGCTTATAGGTGACTCGGAATTAGTGGAGGCGAAGCTGCAGAGCCTTGAACACCGCCGTAAAGTTGCCTGCTTATCGGTATTTTACAGAATATATCACGGAGAGTGTACGATGGAATTACACGATTTAATTCCACCGTCCCGTTTCCATCACCGGGGGACTAGGCGTAGGCTTGGATTCCACCCCTATGTTGTAGATATTCCAAAGATTCGCACGAAGCGTTACGCTTCCACATTTATATATGGCGAACGGCTATGGAGTGGAATTCCCTGCCTGCAGACTTGTTCCCTGAACATTATAACTTGGACCTTTTCAAGGCGAAAGTGCATGCTCCATCGTCGACCTCATCGTCACTTTCCATCAGGTGAGATGGAGGTCAAATGCACACCTATATTTTATATTAAAAAAAAAATCTGTACACTGAAACATCGAGACAAATTTAATGGGCCTAAACACAATAGTTCTTCTGTAAGTAGTTGAGAAGTTGCGTAGTTGCAGACTGTCCTGATTGCACCATCAGATTAAGGTTACCAAAATTTCCATAATATACCATGTTTCAAGTCGATCGGACAAGTGGAGGTAAAATAAATATTTGTTTTGTGGCTAAGATCCCAACCCTAACAGGAAAAAGAGTTGATAATCTTTAAACAGCTGAACAGGTAGATGTTCATCAAACATAGCTAAGAATCATCACGTTTAAATTAGCCTTCGATCAGTCCTACCGTTTAAGAGCTACGATGCCTTACTTACAGACAGACGCTAGGTCAAATAATAAAAGGAGTTGGGTAGTCTTTAGATTATCCGGTTTGCAGCAACAAATCAAGGTCACCATATTATTGTAATGTAATCGGATTTTCAATCGGAATAGTATATCAAATTTTAAAGCGATCGGACAAGCGGAATCTAAATAAATATTCATCAGATGATATTTAAACAGCTGAACCGATGTTCATCGAACATAAAACAGCTTTTAGATTAAAGCTACGATTGCACAGTCAAACACACAGACACGTTACCCGGACAAAAGCTTCAAAAATTTATAACTCCCCATTTTTTGCCTCAGGATTTATCAAAACAGTATACTTTAAAACTGCGCTTATTTTTGTCACCCCAAAGCGGTATCCATCTGTCTGTTTTATCACGTCGTATTTAAATAATATCATTCAGTTGCGTCGCACCCGGGTGCCGACTGTCATGCTTGTGGACAGGCTGTGTAATGTAAAGAAAATAAATGGAAATATATTGATAAAAATAATTGAAGGTATTAACTCCTATAAGAGTCCTGGTATAGATAAAATAAGGGCAAAGGACATTAAATACATTGCATTGGATATAGCACCTGTTCTAAAACATTTGATAAATAGGTGCATAACAACATCAACTTATCCTGATAGATTAAAAATAGGTGTTATTAGACCAATACATAAGAAAGGTAGCTTCACTGACACTAACAATTATAGGCCCATTACAATATTATCCTGTATTGACAAGATTATAGAAAAATATATAGGGAGGGAAATTAATGAGTTCTTGTCAAACAATCAGATCATTAATGAGAAGCAATTCGGATTTCAAAAAAATAAAAGCACCACCAAACTCTTTATTTTCGGATGAAGTAAATGGCCATCTAAATGATAAAAACCATGTACTAGCAGTTTTGATAGATTTTAATAAGGCATTTGATGCGCTAAATTATGAAACATTGTATAAAAAAATGAAGCAAAATGGTATACAGGGCCCAATGTTGAGTTGGTTTAAAAATTATCATCAAAAAAGATGTAACACTGTTAGTATAAACGGTGAAAATAGTGACTTAATACCAACAGTATGCGGCACGGCCCAAGGCTCAATTCTAGGCCCAACCGAATATCTAATTTATGTGAACGATATGTGCAACGTATTACGAGAGAGCTCAGTATACCAGTTTGCTGATGACACTTGTTTGTTAACCGCGCACAAAGATTTAAAAGTCGCCCAACACATGATGCAGCAAGAATTTGATAAACTGTGTAAATGGGCACATGATGTGGGTCTATCTATTAATTTTCAAAAAACCAAACTTACATATACAGTCACCATACTTAAAATGTAGACATTTACCGCAAGTTGTAGCTCACGATCATAATTGTATGCATCATCAGCCCATAAACTGTCATTGTAAACCATTAGAATTGGTAAAGGAACATATGTATCTCGGATTAAAAATTGACCATAAATTTAACTGGGGCCCACATGTTGAACATGTATGTAATAAGCTTAGGGCGGTACTTTCCAAGTCATGTATACTCAAACAAAAACTACCATATAATACATTGAGAATGTTATATTTGGCACTGGCTGACTCTATAATTAATTATTGTATTTCGAGCTATGGTCCTACGTACAAAACATTCCTACAGAATATTTATAGCCTTCAAATAAGATTGCTTAAGACCATTGTACCTCCTAGAATT